CCTGCCTGGCCCCTCGCTGCTCCCAGGAGGAGGAGGAGGGCAGCAGGCCACCTGCCCGGGTCCTCAGAGCCCTGGGGAGTAGCCACAGCGCCACTGCCTGCCCTGCGCACAGGCCTGGCGGCCTTTCTGCCTGTGTCCCTGCCGCCCTTCCCCGGCTCCTGGCCAAGGCCAGAGCCCCCGCTGCCACCGGTGTCCGCAGCCGGCGAGGGGCCCTGGTTGGCGGTCCTGACGCTGCCGGACTCGGCTTCTCCTGCCTGTCCTGGCCGGTGAGGGCGGTCACAGCGAGAGGAGTGTGTGCCGGGGAGGGATGACGGGCAAGCAGGGAAGTGCTGGTGGGGGGGCAGCATGTGCCACGGGAAGGCCGGGGGAAGGACCTGGGAGAACTGTTCACCGTGAAGCCGGAGGAATCGTCAAGGCCTTGGGCTCTGACTCCAGGTGAAAGCCGGGCGGCGGGAGCCAATGAGGGTGCTGCTGCCGAGGTGGCGGGTTCTGCGTGGTTAGGCACCCAGCTGCCCCTCAGGTGCTCTCTGGCTGGAGGAAGGGCGAGCCCAGAGGGGGCAGCATGGCCAGCGCTCTTTCGAGGTGGCCGCTGCATGCACTTGGACAGGCCGTGGCCAGGCAGAGGCCAGGCTGGGTGAGGTCTGGGGGGACTTGGGCCCTGCAGGGCCCTGAGCTTGCTCCCCCAAGGGCTTGGGGAGGGGAGGGTGCTCCTGCGGACACCTGCGCCCCGTGACCCAGCTGTAGGCGAGCAGCCGGCCCGGGCAACCAGCAGCACGGCCACACGGTGGCAGCAGAGAACCAGCTGTCACGCTGCTCCACCCGAAGGGGACTGGGTGACTCAGTGTTGAGTGTCTGGAGGCGGGACACAGGTCCCAGGAACTCGTGTCTCGCCCTGGCTGGCATGACTCAGTGGTGAGAGCTCAGCCTGCACACAAAAGGGTCGCAGGTTGGCTTCTAGGCCAAGGGCGGGCCAGGGTCCTGTGCAGGAGGCTCTGTGTGTCTCCATCAATGTTTCTCCCTCTCCCCTTCCCTCCCACGTCTCTGCTGCGGACGGAGAACATTTCACTCCGGGTTTGCCCAGCCTGCCTACCTTTACACAGGGTGACTGCGAACGGGGGAGCCCAGCCGTGACTTTCCGGGCGTGTGTACTCATTTCCGGCCGGTTCTGGTTAGAGAAGGGAGTGCCTTTACCTCGCCCCGGGCACTGGGCTCCCCGGCACTGGGTGTGGCCACACAGGTGCTCCTTCTGCCCTCCGCACCACGTGCTGGGCGCGCTCAGCGTGGAAGCCGAGTCCAGCACTAGGAATGGGGGAGGGGGCCCGTTATCCAGAATGAACTGCGCTGGGGTGGATGTAGCATACTGACTGTGAGACCCCAAAATGGGACTGGCACTGCCTGGACCAGGAAGGCTCCCTGGAGGAGGTGCCCCCAGGCTGCAGAGGAGAACGGGGAGGGCGTCCCTGGAGGGAGGAGCCAGGGGTAGGGGCTGGGCGGGGAGTGGAGGTTACAGCTCCGAGGGGAGGGCCGGCCTGGTAGAGTCCTGTGGGCTGAGGGCTCCTCTCTCCCACTCCCCTCACTCTTCAAAGCCCTGGTGCTGTAGGCGGAGCGAGGACCACGGGCCAGGTGCTGGTCACCAGGATGGAAAGCCCAGTGCAAAGGACAGTTGTGGGGGGCCCTCTCCCCCAGGGGCCTTTCCCTCCCCCACATCGCTGGTGTGGACCCCCTGACCTTTTCTCTCCGGAGACAGAATGTCCAGGCCCAATTGTTTTTCCGCTCCAGGCCCCGATAAACAGCAGCAGCAGCTGACTGTGATTCAGGCCCGGCAGCCTGATTAATGGCCCTGCCGGGAGAGCTGCCGGGAAAGCTGCCTGCCGGGCAGTCTGCTGAGCTCTGCTGAGGAGCCTGCAGCACCTCCTCCCTTAGAACCCCCAGGCCTTCCCCTCCCCCCTCGTCCTCCCTCCCCGCCCCAGGCTCCTGGCCATTAGCTCCTCACTCCCCAGCTCCTAGGGCCCTTCCTTGACAACTCCTGTCGGGAAGCCCGTTTCTTCTGGGAATTACTTTTCCTCCTCTGTGACTTTCCAAACAAACCATCTCTCAGGGTTTGGGCCTTGGCTCTGAATTCCCTCCTAGCTGGAACCCAACACCGAGCTGCTGCACCCAGGTGTGGTCTCCCGCATCGGGGAGACAGAGCCAAGCTCACAGGTCCCCAGACAAGGCCCTCCAGGGTCCAGGCCCCTGTGGCTGAGGGGCTGCAGGTGGAGGGGGTCCCCAGGGCCCCTCTTTGGTGTTGGGGGGACCGGTGTCAATGGGAGAAATGTTCAAACCTGTAGAATTTTTATGAGTTTATTTGAGCCCAATTGATAGCTATTGCCAGGAAGTAAAATCTCCATGGCTTGAGAAAATGCTCCAGTAAATTGCAGTTTTCTGGCTTATTTTATACATTTAGAATGTAAATGCAAGAAATGACCAAACCTGTAAGAAATTTTGAGTTTATTTGAGCCAAACACAGCAATTCCTGGGAAGCAAAATTTCAATAGATTGAGGCGGGGGAAATCTCAGTGGATTGAGAAAATGGCTGTTTTGCACTTCATTTTAAATATATTTTTATTGATTTCGGAGAGGAAGGGGAGGTAGAAAGAGAGAGAAACATCAATGATGAATCGGTGATTGTCTGCCTCCTGCACGCCCCCTACTGGGGATCCAGCTCACAACCAGGGCAAGTGCCTTTGACTGGAATCGAACCTGGGTGGTTGGCGGGTTTGGATAGTTAATGACCAGGTATAGCTCACACAGATGGGTGGACAGATAACAATGGGGGTTTCGGTAGTCTCTGCTCTCCCTCTCTGTGCCCTGAGGGGTCCGGGGAAAAGGATTACTCAGATCTTCCACCGATCTCTTAGGCGCAAAAAGAAAACGGACTCAGTTCAGGTAAAGATTCACCTTTGTCAACGATACGGGCCTCGGACAGGGCTTCCCACCCTGACTCACCGTTAGGGAATTTTCAAACCACCCTTCGTGGTTCCTTTCGGTCTCTGGGTTTGGAAGGCCGCCACCCAGGCCTCCCCTGAGCGGTCAGGGTCAGCACTGGCCCCCTGTCCCCCAGGACCAGTGAGAGGCTGGAGGGAAGGTGACAGGAAGCCCATCGGTGCCAGGCTAAGGGGGAGGGAGAAAGCAGAGACACAAACCTTTTTTCTTCTTTTTAGCGTCCTCACCCACGAATATGTTCTTACTAATTTTTTTTTTAGAGAGAGAGGAAGGGAAAGAGAGAAACATCAATCAGTTGTTGACCAAACCCACAACCTAGGTATGTACCTTGATCCAGAATTGAACCCGAAACAGGGCGACGCTCTAACCAACTGAGTGAGCACACCCCCCCCCCCCCAAACTCCTTCCGTGTGGGCAGTTAATGATTAACGTGCACAGCACACAGAGCCGGTGCCTGGGGGACCAGTGAACGATGCGGGGCTGTGGGGGTGGCCTGAGGGGCTGAGGCTCAGAGACAGCAGACAGGACCACCCCCGGGAAGACAGCTGCAGGCTGGGCTGTGATTCACCATGACCCACTCTAGTTGGGAATTCCGTGTTCAGACCCTACTGTGGTTATTTCAGGCTCTGAGCTTGTAGGGCCCACCCTGCTGGCTGTCCCTAGGCTTGTCAGGCCGGTGAGGGGAGGGGGGAGGGGCCCAGGTCCTGGTGAGAGAGCAGGAGCTGCCTCCTCTCCCTCTTCCCCACGCCCCTTTCCATCCAGTCTGGGAGGAGAGCTCTGGGCTACCACCTAGTGAGACTACATCCTCATTATATAAATAAAGTTAATATGTAAATAAAATATATAAATAAAATTTCATTTATTTCAGAGAGGGAGGGAGGGATAGAAACACCAACGATGAGAGAGGATATTGATTAGCGCCTCTTGCATGCCCCCTGCTGGGGGTCCAACCTACAACCCAGGCATGTGCCCAGACCAGGAATTGAACCGTGACCTCCTGGTTCCTCAGGTCACTGAGCACACCGGCTGGGCTGCACCTCCTTTTTGAGGGAGAGCCTTGAGACCCAGCAGGTTAGAGGAGCCGCCGAAGCTGCAGGGGAAGGCGGGCATTGCTTCCTGCTCCACCTGACAGCGTCCGCACCCTGAGGCACCCCTAAGGGACCAGGACAGGCTTGGGCCTCCACATCAGGCCCTCCTCTCTGCTGTCCAGCCAGCCAGCCAGCCTGGCCTCGGCGTGCAACCCCTCCCTCTCCCTCTGTCCACAGGCCGGCAGCGGGCAGCCCACCCCCCTCTGACCCCATCTCATGGCTGACAGCCCAGGGCAAGACATGGGATGGACCCTGCCCACAGAGGATGGGTCTCTCCGGGGGCCCTCACCTCTCTCCTGGGCGGGAGGGAGGGGAGGGAAGGTTGCTGGGACAATGGAACCAAGAGAAGAAATGAGTCAGGGACCCCGGAAACCTCACCGCCCCTCCTCACTGCGGCCGGGACCTGGGCCTCTGCCCCGGGCCACCACCGCGCATCTGCCCCCGGCCCTCCCCCGCGCCCAGCCCCCGGCCCCCCCCCGCGCCCAGCCCCCGGCCCTCCCCCGCGCCCAGCCCCCGGCCCTCCCCCCGCGCCCAGCCCCCGGCCCTCCCCCTGCGCCCAGCCCCCGGCCACCCCTTCGCCCAGCCCCGGCCCTCCCCCCGCGCCCAGCCCCCGGCCCTCCCCCCGCGCCCAGCCCCCGGCCCGCCCCCCGCGCCCAGCCCCGGCCCTCCCCCTGCGCCCAGCCCCGGCCCTCCCCCCGCGCCCAGCCCCCGGCCACCCCCCTGCGCCCAGCCCCCGGCCCTCCCCCCGCGCCCAGCCCCCGGCCACCCCCCTCGCCCAGCCCCGGCCCGCCCCCTGCGCCCAGCCCCGGCCACCCCAGCACACCCAGGCGGCTGGGGAGGGCGCCCGGAGCGGAGCCGGACGTCCCGGGTCCGGAGGAGGCGGGGCCGCCCGCTCCCCAGGCCCCGCCCCGCCCCGCCCTGAGGTCCGGCGGGCAGGGAGCGGCGGCGGCAGGTGAGGGCCTCCCGCCGGCGGAGGGCGTGTCGGCGGCGCCAGGTGCCTGAGTCCCGGCCGGGCCGCGGGGAAGTGTCGCCGGAGCGTGGCGCGGGGAGCTGGTGCCCGCGGCTCCCGGACCTGCGCCGGACGCCGGTCCCAGCCACCAGCCTGCACCCGCCGGGCCCCGGGAACCCCCGGCGGCCCCGATGGAGCTCCGCCCGCCGCCCTCCGCCTTCCTGCTGCTGCTGCTGCTGCTGCCGCCGCCGCCTGTGCCCGCGGTGCCCGCAGCCCCGGGCCCCTGGCGCTGCCCGCTTATCCCCTACTCCGCCTCCCGCGACTTCGACGTGGAGTACGCGGTGCCCCGCTTCGCGGCCGGCGGCCCGGTGCAGGCGCTGGCCGCCTACGAGGGCGGCGAGGGCGGCAGCGCCGTGTTCGTGGCCACGCGCAACCGCCTGCATATGCTGGGCCCGGACCTGCGGCCGCTGGCGAGCCTGGCCACCGGCCCCGCCGGCCACCCCGGCTGCCAGACCTGCGCGGCCTGCGGCCCCGGCCCGCACGGCCCCCCGGGGGACACGGACGCCAAGCTGCTGGTGCTGGACCCCACGCTGCCCGCGCTCATCAGCTGCGGCTCCAGCCTGCACGGCCGCTGCTTCCAGCTCGAGCTGGAGCCCGGGGAGCCCGGGGAGCCCGCCCCGCGCCTGGCGCCGCCCGCCTGCCTCTTCGCCGCCGCCCGCAACCGGCCCGAGGCCTGCCCGGACTGCGTGGCCAGCCCGCTGGGCACCGTGGCCACCGTGGTGGAGCAGGGCCGCGCCTCCTTCCTCTACGCCGCGTCCTCGCTGGACCCGCAGGTGGCCGCGAGCTTCAGCCCCCGCTCCGTGTCCATCCGCCGCTTCCGGGCCGACGCCTCGGGCTTCGCGCCCGGCTTCGAGTCCCTGTCGGTGCTACCCGCGCACCTGGCCTCCTACCGCATCCACTACGTGCACAGCTTCCGCGCCGGCGACTTCGTGTACTTCCTGGCGGTGCAGCCGGCCAGCCTGTCCGCCGCGCCCGGCGCCCTGCACACGCGCCTGGCCCGGCTCAGCGCCCTGCAGACGGACGTGGGCACCTACCGCGAGCTGGTGCTGGACTGCAGCTTCGAGCCCAAGCGCCGGCGCCGCGGGGCGGCCGCGGGCGGGCAGCCCTACCCGGTGCTGCGCGCCGCGCACACGGCGCCCGTGGGCGGCCGCCTGGCCCGCGAGCTGAACGTCGCCGAGGGCCAGGCCGTGCTGTTCGGCGCCTTCGGGGCCGGCGGCGGCGGCGGGCGCGCGGGGCCCGGCTCGGTGGTGTGCGCCTTCCCGCTCCCGCTGCTGGACGCGCTCATCGAGCGCGGCGTGGAGCGCTGCTGCGGGGCGCGCGGCCCCCAGGGCCTGCGGCGCGGCCTCGACTTCTTCCAGCCGCCCATCCTGTGCCCCAACCCGGTGAGCAGAGGGGCCCTCCCGGGGGAGCGGGTGAATCCGGCTGCTTCCCCCGCCCCTCCGTGCCGGCGGCGAAGGGCCCGCCACGCTGGGGCCGCACCGGGCGCCTCGGTGCCGGCGGCCTCCGTCCCACCCCGCTCCGCTCTGCCCTCTCACCCCGTGCCTCCTGTCTCAGGCAGTCCCTGTCATGTGAGAGCTGATTGCATCCTAGCGTCTCCGCCAGGCTCACTGCCAGACTGGGGCAGAGGGATGGCCTCCTGTCCCTCTGCCCGCCGCCCGCGGGGACACAGCCCGGGCCGCTGACACAGACGCAGGGGCTCCCGCTCCCCCTAGTTTCCCTTCCTCTCCAGGGGCTCCCCCTCCCCCTAGTTTCCCTTCCCCTCCGGGAGCACTTGTTTGTTCGGCTTCCCGAGGAGGGAGGGGCAGGAGCCGCCGGGTGCTCCCCCCTGGCTGGGAAGTTGGGGGGTTTATCAGGGAGTCTGCAGGGCAGCTCCTCTGGATTGATTGTTCTCCGTGGGTGGGGTGATGCGGGAGCCCCGCAGGCTGGGATGGGGGGGAGATGGAGTGGGGGGAGGGGATGCGGTGGGGGGAGATGGCTTGGCTCTAGTAGCTTCCAGGAGGCTCACCCTCTCTTGTGCAATTATAAACATCTGGGGATGAGCACAGACAGGCGGGGCGGGTGGAAGTGGGTTACGCAGGATTCTCAGACGCTTTCCCACTCTAGTTGGGGCCCTGGCAGAGCAAGTGCCCCTTCTCAGCCCAGGCAGGAGGTTCCGGCCCAGGCTGGGTTCTGGGCTCCGTCCAGCAGACCCTCCCCAGCCTTGGTGCCGGGAGCTGGAGAGAGACAAACAGGACACTCCTCCAGATGCTGAGCTCAGAGCCCAGAGGATTCCTGGGAGCCATGGAAACAGCTCACCCTCGGTTCTAGGAGATCAGACCAGGGACACGGGGTGAACGGTGCTGGAGAGAGTCCTCAGCAGGTGACCCACAGGGGCCGTTGGCTGCCCGGTGCCCTGGCCCTGGCCGACATCCCCGCCGCCCCCTGTTCGGCTCCTGTTATGGCCCAGAGGCGGGAGAAGCTGCACGTCAGGTGGGGGTCTTCAGCCCCCCGCCCTCAGCTGAGTTCATCGAGGCTGAGGAGGCCCCAGGGCTGGGGCTCCCCGTCTGGGCCTGGCCGCCCGGCCGGCCCTCTTCCTCTCCCCGGCTGGGCTAGCCGCCAGGGGCCAGAAGACACCCAGCCAGGCCTGGCAGTGCCGGCTCTAGGGAGCCTAATCTACAGCCCTGCCCACAGGCTGGCGGCCCGGGAGGTGTGTGAGCAGCTTGTGCCATGTTTGTCCATGACTGGGAGGCACCCTCCAGGGCACCCTCCCCTGCTCCCGCGGCTAGCCTCAGGAAGCGCGCTGCGAGCTGCCCTCCCGGGCCCAGGAGCCACCGGCCACTAGACCAGCCTGGGCCGGAGCAGGCAGGGGTGCGGCCGACTGGGGCGGGGCCTCTTCCCGCCCAGGCCCCACCTGCCCTGAGTCATGCCGGGAACACCTAACTGACTTCCGGGGGGACCGGCCTCCCGCTTCCTTCCTCAGTGAGGACAGAGGCCCGTCCGCACCCCCGGCCACAGGCCCAGCGGCTCGGGGCTGCCGGGCAGCTCTGCACCTGCTCTTGCCCCCAGATCAGCACTGAGGCCTGCTGACTGGGTCCCACATCCTTGGTCTGACGGGGACTTCAGGGGCTCCTGCCTGGGTGCCCCCAAAGCTAGCCAGGTCCCAGGCACCTAGGGTTCCTGAGGTCTGCCTGCACTTTGCACTCAGCAAACTCCTTGCGTTCACGCCCTGGCTTCCTGGTGCCCCAGGAGCCTCTGTCCTCTGTGACCCGACCTGAGTGCGGCCCCAAACACCCTCCGGTGAGAGCAGGGAGATGTTAGTACCCGCGGCCCCTGGGGCCCAGCTCGCACCCAGGCCTCCCGACCCTGGCTTGTCTGAAGGAGGGGCGGGGAGCCCTCTGCAGTCTCCAGAGAAGAACCATGTGGCCACCCGTGCCCACAAGTTACCCGGGAGCTCAGCGCCCCCAGCTGGCGGAGAAACCCCTGAAGGGCAGGGCTTGCTGAAGTGCAAGGCTGAACCAGCAGGGGGCAGGAGAGGACTCTGTTCAAGAGCTCAGGCTGCCCACCTCAAGTGCCTCTTGTTTCCCTGTCTGGAAGGGTGGGGAGTGGTCCGAGGAGAGGACGGGGTTGGGTCTGCAAGCCTCAGTACTGATGGTCAGGATGGACATGGCGGGGTAGGGCCAGGCCTGGGGGAGCTGGCCCGGCTGCCTCTGAGGGCCGCCCCTGGGGAGAGGAGGGGAGGGCGGGTAAGTGGCAGGCCTGGTCTTCGCCGGCAGCCAGGCGAGGGCGGGAGTTCGGGCTGCTGTGGCCCCGGACAGGCTCTGTGGGGGATGAGCCCTGACGCCTCCTCTGTCCTCCAGCCGGACCCCACGGTGCCCAACTCCAACGGCAGCTGCTACCGCTTCCCCCTGCTGGCCAGCGGCAGCCTGTCCCGCGTGGACCTGTTCAACGGGCTCTTGGGGCCCACGCAGATCACGGCGCTGCACGTGACAAGCCTGGACAACGCCACGGTGGCCCACATGGGCACGGGCGACGGGCGCATCCTGCAGGTGGGCCCGTCCCCACCGCCTGTGCCCCGCCCCCCCCGCCCGCTCACCGCTGTCCCGGCCCTCCCACCCCCACCCACTCACCGCTGTCCCGGCCCTCCCCACCACCCACTCACCGCTGTCCCGGCCTCCCCCCCCACCACCTACTCACCGCTGTCCCGGCCTCCCCCCCCACCCCCACTCACCGCTGTCCCGGCCCCCCCCCACCCACTCACCACTGTCCCAGCCCCCCGTCCCCCCCCCACCCGCTCACCACTGTCCCGGCCCTCCCCCCACCTGCTCACCGCTGTCCCGGCCCTCCCCCCACCTGCTCACCGCTGTCCCGGCCCCCCCCCACCCGCTCACCGCTGTCCCGGCCCTCCCCCCACCCGCTCACTGCTGTCCCGGCCCCCCCCCACCCGCTCACCGCTGTCCCGGCCCTCCCCCCACCTGCTCACCGCTGTCCCAGCCCCCCGTCCCCCCCACCCGCTCACCGCTGTCCCGGCCCTCCCCCCACCCGCTCACCGCTGTCCCAGCCCCCCGTCCCCCCCCCACCCGCTCACCGCTGTCCCGGCCCTCCCACCTCCACCCCTACCCCCTGTGCCCAGGTCCTCCCCCACCCCACCCGCTCACCACTGTCCCAGCCCTCCCCCCCACCCGCTCACCGCTGTCCCGGCCCTCCCCCCACCCACTCACCTCTGTCCCGCCCTCCCCCCACCCACTCACCGCTGTCCCGGCCCTCCCCCTCACCTGCTCACCGCTGTCCCGGCCCTCCCCCCCACCCGCTCACCACTGTCCCGGCCCTCCCCCCCACCTGCTCACCACTGTCCCGCGCAGGTGGAGCTGGCCAGGTCCCTCGGCTATCTGCTGTACGTCTCCAACTTCTCACTGAGCCGCAGTCAGCAGCCCGTGCACCGGGATGTCCGCCGCCTTGGGAACCACCTGCTCTTTGCCTCTGGGGACAAGGTACGGCGGGCAGGGGCAGGGGAGGGGAGGGGAGGGCAGGGCCCGGGGTGAGAGGGGCACTGATGCCCAGGTCTCCCCGCGCTGTCCCCAAGGGGACCAGGTGCTCTCTGGGGCCCAGGCCTCTCCACTCCTCCCGTCACCCCAGCCACCGCTCTGCCACCCCAAGGTCTTCCAGGTGCCCATCGGCGGCCCCGGCTGCCGCCACTTTCTCACCTGCGGGCGCTGCCTGCGGGCACAGCGCTTCATGGGCTGCGGCTGGTGTGGGAGCACATGCGGCCGGCAGGAGGAGTGTCCGGGCTCCTGGCAGCAGGACCGCTGCCCCCCTGAGCTTATCGAGGTACGGCCTGCCCGCCGGGCGCAGGTCAGGGTGAGGCAAGCTGGGCTGGGGCGGGAGCGGCCGGTCCTGACCGTGACCTCCTCGGCCCGGGATGTCCTCAGGCAGGCATTCTGGGCGGAGAAGGTGGCACATGCGGATTTGGAGGCAGAAAAGGGTCGAGGCCTCGCAATGACGGAGAATGAGGGGAGCGGGGCGGGCCAGGGGTGCGGCAGGGAAGTGGGGGGAAGCAGCAGGGCTGGGGCCTGGCCCACATAGGCTCTCTGCTCCCTCTCCAGTTCCATCCTCACAGCGGACCCCTGCGGGGCAGCACCAGGCTGACCCTGTGCGGCTCCAACTTCTACCTGCACCCTGACGGCGTGGTGCCCGACGGCACCCACCAGGTCACTGTGGGCCAGAGTCCCTGCCGCCTGCTGCCCAGGGACAGCTCAGACCCCAGGTACCACAGTCCCCGCTGTCCTCTGCTCGGGCGGCAACCCAGGGCCCCTCCCCTGAGCCCGGGCCTTTTCGGGGGGCAGGGGGAGCTGCGGGGCCCTGGCTGCTCTGTCCCACCTGGAGCCTGCGTGTGCCCGGGAGCCGGCAAGGCTAGCCCCCGCCCCGCCAGGTCCCGCCTGCCCTGCGCGGCGGTGGGCATGCAGCCGGGCCTGTGACCTCTGGCTGACCTTGGGTCCCGGCTCCAGCCCCATGTCCTGGAACGGCTTCATAGAGGAGTTTGCGTGTGAGCTGCAGCCCTCGGGCACGCAGGCAGCGGGGCCTGCCAACGTGAGTCTCGCCGTGACCAACATGCCACGGGGCGAGCACTTCCAGGTGGATGGCGCCTCCGAGCTGCCCGGCTTCTCTTTCATGGTGAGGCCGCGGTCCTGGCTGTGCCCATGGCCGCTGGGCAGGGAAGGGCTTCGAGGGGAGGGTCTCTGACCCCGAGCTAAGCCGCCCCCGTCCCCCCTGGTCCCTCTCGTAGGAGCCGGTGCTGAAGGAGGTTCACCCCCTCTTTGGCCCGCAGGCCGGGGGCACCCGCCTTACCCTTAAGGGCCATGGCCTGGACATAGGCACCAGCCGGGCCGTGCTGGTCAATGGCAGCCAGTGCCTGCTGGACGGGTGAGAGCAGGCGGCCGGGGAGCCTTACCCAGGGAGCCCTGGCCGCTGGGCCCTGGGTCCCTGTCCGGGCGGAGGGAGAGCGGCTTGGCCGCTCGGCCAGGCCCAGGGGGAGGGTAGTTTGGGGATGGCAAGAGAGACCATCACCTGTGCCCTCCCTCCCTGCCCTTCCCTGTCTCCTTGGGGTCTTCCTGGGACCGCCCCGTCTTTGGACAAACGGTGGATGTGGGCGGGCGGGGAGGATGACCAGCAGGGGCTGGGAGGCAGGCCCCCGAGGAGGTGGGCCTGCACCCCTGGGGGTGGCCCTGACACAGCCCCCTTCCTGCAGGGTCAGCGAGGGGCAGCTGGTGTGCACCACGCTGCCCGGCACCGCCCTGGCCAGCGTCCCCATTCGCCTGCAGCTGGGGGGCGCCCCAGTGCCCGGCTCCTGGGCCTTCCACTACCGGGAGGACCCTGTCGTGCTGGGCATCAGCCCCAACTGCGGCTACAGGTGAGCGCCCCTCCTTCCCCCCGGCCTCCCAGGGACGGGGGAGCCCCCCTCGGCACCCTCAGCCCGCTGGCCTGCTCTTCCCCTCTCTCCCCGCAGCGGCTCCCACGTCACCATCCGCGGCCAGCACCTGACCTCGGTGTGGCGCCTGGCGCTGTCCTTCCACGACGGGCTGAAGGCCGTGGAGCGCCCGGTGAGCGGGGCGGGCAGCTGCCAGGCGGGCACTGGCCAGGAGGGAGGAAGGCCAGCCGGTCCCCTGAGCCCAGCCCCCCCCCCCCCCCCCCCCCCCCCGCTGGGCTGTGGAGACCGGGTGGCCCCGGGCGGGGCCTGCCTAACCCTCTCGCTGGGCCCGCAGTGCGCGGGGCAGCTCCCAGAGACGCAGAGGTGCCGCCTGCCCGAGTACGTGGTCCGAGGCCCCCAGGGGTGGGTGACGGGGAACCTGAGTGCCCGGGCGGACGGAGCGGCTGGCTTCACGCTGCCTGGCTTCCGCTTCCTGCCCCCGCCCCACCCCCCCAGCACCGACCTGGCCCCCCTGAAGCCGGAGGAGCGTGCCGTTAAGTTCGAGGTGAGTGCGGGGCCGGAGGTGGGTCTGGCGGAGGGCGGGGCCTGGCCCCCCGCCCCCCCCCAGTCGGCACCGGCCGGCCTCACGCTGTCTCCGCAGTACATCGGCCTCGGAGCTGTGGCCGACTGCGTGGACGTGGGCGTCACCCTGGGCGGGGAGAGCTGCCAGCACGAGCTGCGGGGCGACGTGGTCATCTGCCCGCTGCCCCCCGCGCTGCCGCTGGGCGGGGACGGCGCCCTCCTGCAGGTAGGCAGCTCGCGGGCCTTCGCGGCGGCCGGCTGGGCCCGCGGCTGGGCCTGAGCTGCCGCCTCCCCCAGGTCTGCGTGGACGGCGACTGCCACGTCCTGGGCAGAGTGGTGCGGCCAGGCCCGGGGGGCCCCCTGCAGAGGACGCTCCTGGGTGTCCTGCTGGCCCTGGTGCTGCTCGTGGCTCTGCTGGCCACGGCGCTGGCCTTCAACTACCGGAGGCGGAAGCAGCTGGGTGAGCGCCCCTCCGGCCGACTCAGGGCATCCCCCGTCCCTGTCCCCTGTCCCCCGTCCCCCTGCGGGGGCTGCCCGCACCTCCTGGGCAGGGGTCGGCCTCCAGGGGCCGGCGAGGCTGCCTACCAGGCCCTTCTTCCGCAGCCTTCTCTGCGAACCTGGACAGCCTGGCTTCTGCGGACCCGACCACCAGAGGCCTGCCTCTGCCTCAGCTCCGGGCGGGCTCCGACTACAGACACGGCCCTGGTGAGCCAGCCTCCCCCCCTCCCCCCACCCCCCGCAGCCCGGGCCAGCCCCCGCCCTGCCGCCCCTGCCGCCCCTCACCCCCCTCCCCCTCCTCCCAGCGACCCCCACCGGGGACGGCCTGGAGGCCGCCTGTGGGGGCCTCGCAGCGTCCTTCTCGGACAGCGGGGACGGGTCCCGTGTCCCGCTGCTTCGGACCAAGTCCATCCAGCTCGGGGACCTGGACCCACTGCTCCTGGCCGAGGTCAAGGACGTGCTGATCCCCCACGAGCGCGTGGTCACCCACAGTGACCGGGTCATCGGCAAAGGTGCGGGGCCAGGCTGGGGCTGAGACGGGACACGGGCTGGGACCGCTGGCAGGGCTGGCAGCTCCTCACCTTCCTGGGTGCCCCTGGGCACACCGAGGAGCTCTGAGCCTCCGGCTGCGCCTCTGTGTGGGAACCGGCTTGTCAGTGGTTCCGGTGTGGATCCTGTGGGCCAGGGTGCAGCTGCCACTGCTTTTTTTTTTTTTTTTTTTTTTTTTTTAATATTTAATGATTTTTTACAGAGAGGCAGGGAGAGGGACAGAGGGAGAAACATCGATCAGCTGCCTCCTGCACACCTCTCCACTGGGGATGTGCCTGCAACCAAAATTTTGCCCCTGACCGGAATCGAACCTGGGATCCTTCAGTCCGCAGGCTGATGCTCTATCCACTGAGCCACACTTGTGTTTCATGCCAGTCGGTGCCCTGGGGCCCGGCTGCCAGGAGAGGCTGTGGTGTGGGTGCTGGGTGCTGGGGCCCCGCTCACCACCTCCCCTCGCCAGGCCACTTCGGGGTTGTCTACCACGGAGAGTACATCGACGAGGCCCAGAATCACACCCACTGTGCCATCAAGTCATTGAGCCGTAAGTGGGGCGGAGGCGGGTCCCGGTCCCCACGGGGTCCCCCCTCGCGGGGCGGCCCTGAGGGGAGACCCTCCTCCCCGCAGGCATCACGGAGGCGCAGGAGGTGGAGGCGTTCCTGCGGGAGGGGCTGCTGATGCGCGGCCTGCACCACCCGCATGTGCTGGCACTGGTGGGCATCGTGCTGCCGCCCGAGGGGCTGCCCCGCGTGCTGCTGCCCTACATGCGCCACGGCGACCTGCTCCGGTTCATCCGCTCGCCCCAGCGGGTCCGTGCCCGCCGGCCGGGAGGCGGGCAGCGCGGGGGAGCGCCCTGCCCGCCTCCTGACCCGCCTGTGCCCCCAGAACCCCACGGTGAAGGACCTGGTCAGCTTCGGCCTGCAGGTGGCCCGCGGCATGGAGTACCTGGCCGCGCAGAAGTTCGTGCACCGGGACCTGGCCGCCCGCAACTGCATGTGAGCGTGGGGCCTGGGGGTGGGCGAGGGGCATGGGGGTGGGCGTGGGGCCTGGGGGTGGGCGAGGGGCATGGAGTGGGCGAGGGGCGGGTGCCGGAAGGTTCCAGCCCTGCTGTGCGCCCCGGGCCGGTCCGCCCGTTGCGGCCTCCGCTGTCGCGTCCTCCCGGTTCAGGCTCAGAGGGGACTCTGGCCCGGAAGCCCTGTGAGGACAGGGCCCGGCCCGGCGGGCCGTCCTGAGTGCCCGCCCTCCCCAGGCTGGATGAGTCCTTCACGGTGAAGGTGGCGGACTTCGGCCTGGCCCGCGGTGTGCTGGACAAGGAGTACTACAGCGTGCAGCAGCACCGCCACGCGCGCCTGCCCGTCAAGTGGATGGCGCTGGAGAGCCTGCAGACCTACCGCTTCACCAGCAAGTCGGACGTGGTGAGGCCCGGCTCCGGCCCCCGGGGCCTCCGTGTCCTGGGGGGACACCGGCTCCGATGGTGACCGAGCCGGGGGGGGGGGGGGGAGGCTGTGGACTCCCCGGCCCCCAGCTCCCCGGCCTGGTGTAGCGGGGGGAGGAGGAGACAGCAAAGGTGCTCTGGGGTCCTGAGGAGCCGGCTGTTTGGGGGCGGAGCCCCGTTTCCAGGGGGAGGGCTCTGGGCGGTAGGAGGCCTGGGGTCCTGCTGGGCTGAGAGTTGAATCACCTCACTCCCCCCCCACAGTGGTCATTTGGCGTGCTGCTATGGGAGCTGCTGACACGGGGTGCCCCGCCGTACCCCCACATCGACCCTTTTGACCTCACCCACTTCCTGGCCCAGGGCCGTCGCCTGCCGCAGCCTGAGTACTGCCCCGATGCCCTGTGAGTATGTGGGGGGGTGGGGGGTAGGGGGGTGGGGGAGTGGAGAGGGTGGGGGGTGGGGGGGAGGGGGGCCGGGAGCCGGCCCGGAGGCCTGGAGGGGGCGGGAGCCCGTGTTCTGGCCTCACCCTCAGGCTCCCCTCCGGTGACGGGAAAGGGGCCCTCTGAGCCTTAGTTTCCTCGTCTGCAGACCGCTCTGCCCCCATTCGGGGCTGGGTGCTGGGAGAACATCACGGTTGCCATGGCAACAGCATTCCCATCTTGGTGTCTGGGTTGCGGCCAGTGATTTGGTTTCCCAGCATCCTCTCCCCGCAGCCCTGCCAAGGGGCTGTTTTCCATCTCCCTCTCCTTCTCCCAGGAAGGTTCCATTAGCTCCCACACCGCCCTCCTGTCTCCCTCCCCGCTTCCTCCCGGGATCGAGTGTCAGGTCCCCGTTCTCCTTCTCGTTCTCGGAGGGGGCATGGCCCAGCCGTGCTGTCCTGGACCTGTGGCCTGTGGGCCCGTGGCCCGTGGCCTGTGGGCTGTGGGCTGTGGGCTGTGGCCTGTGGGCTGTGGCCTGTGGCCGGTGGGCTGTGGCCTGTGGGCTGTGGCCTGTGGCCTGTGGGCTGTGGCCTGTGGCCTGTGGCCTGTGGGCTGTGGCCTGTGGCCTGTGGCCTGTGGGTCTGTGGCCTGTGGGCTGTGGCCTGTGGCCTGTGGGCTGTGGGCTGTGGGCCTGTGGTCTGTGGGCTGTGGCCTGTGGCCTGTGGGCCTGTGGGCTGTGGGCCTGTGGGCTGTGGCCTGTGGCCTGTGGGCCTGTGGCCGGTGGGCTGTGGGCTGTGGCCTGTGGGCTGTGGGCTGTGGGCTGTGGCCGGTGGGCTGTGGGCTGTGGCCTGTGGGCTGTGGGCTGTGGGCTGTGGGCTGTGGGCTGTGGGCTGTGGGCTGTGGCCTGTGGGCCTGGGGCCTGTGGCCGGTGGCCTGTGGCCTGTGGCCTGTGGGCTGTGGGCTGTGGCCTGTGGGCTGTGGCCTGTGGGCTGTGGCCTGTGGCCTGTGGGCTGTGGGCTGTGGCCTGTGGGCTGTGGGCTGTGGGCTGTGGCCGGTGGGCTGTGGGCTGTGGCCTGTGGGCTGTGGGCTGTGGGCTGTGGGCTGTGGGCTGTGGGCTGTGGCCTGTGGCCTGTGGGCTGTGGGCTGTGGCCTGTGGGCTGTGGGCTGTGGCCTGTGGGCTGTGGGCTGTGGGCTGTGGGCTGTGGGCTGTGGCCTGTGGGCCTGGGGCCTGTGGCCGGTGGCCTGTGGCCTGTGGCCTGTGGGCTGTGGCCTGTGGGCTGTGGGCTGTGGCCTGTGGCCTGTGGGCCTGGGGCCTGTGGCCGGTGGCCTGTGGCCTGTGGGCTGTGGCCTGTGGGCTGTGGGCCTGTGGGCTGTGGGCTGTGGCCTGTGGGCTGTGGGCTGTGGCCTGTGGCCTGTGGGCCTGGGGCCTGTGGCCGGTGGCCTGTGGCCTGTGGGCTGTGGCCTGTGGGCTGTGGGCCTGTGGGCTGTGGGCTGTGGGCCTGTGGGCTGTGGGCTGTGGCCTGTGGGCTGTGGGCTGTGGCCTGTGGCCTGTGGGCTGTGGCCTGTGGGCTGTGGCCTGTGGGCTGTGGGCTGTGGCCTGTGGGCTGTGGGCTGTGGCCTGTGGGCTGTGGGCCTGTGGGCTGTGGGCTGTGGGCCTGTGGGCTGTGGGCTGTGGCCTGTGGGCTGTGGGCTGTGGCCTGTGGGCTGTGGGCCTGTGGGCTGTGGGCTGTGGGCCTGTGGGCTGTGGGCTGTGGCCTGTGGGCTGTGGGCTGTGGGCTGTGGGCTGTGGCCTGTGGTCTGTGGGCCTGTGGGCTGTGGCCTGTGGGCTGTGGCCTGTGGTCTGTGGTCTGTGGCCTGTGGCCTGTGGGCTGTGGGCTGTGGGCTGTGGGCTGTGGCCGGTGGCCTGTGGGCTGTGGCCGGTGGCCTGTGGGCTGTGGGCTGTGGGCCTGTGGCCTGTGGGCTGTGGGCTGTGGCCTGTGGGCTGTGGTCTGTGGGCTGTGGGCTGTGGCCTGTGGGCCTGTGGGCTGTGGACTGTGGCCTGTGGGCTGTGGCCTGTGGGCTGTGGGCTGTGGCCTGTGGCCTGTGGGCCGGGCTTGGTGCTGAGGTTCACCTCCGTGAGCCACGGGTGCTCGCTGCGCCCAGGCCTTCGTGGCGAGGGCAGGCAGCACTGGCCGCAGTCCTGTCCCGGCTGCGCGGAGGATGGCCCTCGGCACGCCCGTCCGCCTGGGGCGCCTGCCACGACCCCTCCCTGTGCATCCGGTTGGAGCGAGGCCCTGAGTCAGACCTGAGATGGACACTCCCGTGCGGGGCGTACGGGAGGGGGGGAGGGAGCAGGGCTGGGTGGCCACGAGGTGGGCATCGACGCAGTCCCTCGAGGCCACAGCCCACCTGGGGACGCCTGGGCTGATGGCCTTCAGAGTCTTACAGAAGAAGATCGCCGTGCCAGGTCTTGGCACCAGACATTAACCCGTCACCGGGCACTGCTGCCCTGAAGAGGGGGTGCCCGGGGAGGGGGGAGGCCGGGGGAGGGAGCGGGGAGGGGACCGTGCTTGCTTGGCGGGGCCTCTGCCTGAGTGGTCGGCAGCCGTGGGAGAAGGAAAGGGGTCTGGACAGTGTGGCCCCATCCCAGAGCAAGTCCCTCCTCCTGGGCCTCAGTCTTCTCATCTGTGAATTGGGACGGTGATAGAGCCGCCTCAGAGAGTCTGAGAATGACTGAGGGTGTTGTGTGACATGCCCAAGATAAAGGGCCAGTTTCTCTGGCCATAGGAGGGTCTGCTGGTCGGCCGGCCGTCCCCGTCTCTGGGTGTCTAGTCTCCATGTCCCCGCCTGGCTCCCTCCCTGGAGCCTGGAGCCGGGCCCCTCCCGGCATCCTGTCTCCTTGCGCCCCGGCAGCTCTGGGCTCAGAGGAGGACCCAGAGGCACAGAGAGGCTGAGGAGCTGGACCCAGTCACACAGCCCAGGGCGCGGGCAGGACACAGGCGAGAAGGGTGTCCTTGGAGGGCTGAGCTCAGCGTTGGGCCCCGTCGCCACCCTCACCCCGTGCGCCTGCCAGGGGGACAGGGGGCAGCCCCGAGTCTCTGGGCGGCGGCTGCCCTGCCCCTGACGCCCTCCCCGCCCGCAGGTACGCCGTGATGCAGCGCTGCTGGGCGGCGGACCCCGCGGCCCGCCCCACCTTCGGGGCGCTGGTGGGGGAGGTGGAGCAGGTGGCAGCCGCCCTGCAGGGGGACCACTACGTGCAGCTGTCCGCGGCCTACGTGAACCTGGGCCTCGCCGCTGCCTCCGAAGAGCCCAGTGTGCCCCCAGGACTGCCCGTGTCCCCGCGCGGGCACTGGAGCCCCAGCCGGCCCCGGCCCCTCTCAGAGCCGCCGCGGCCCACGTGACCCCGGCCCCAGGCAGCCCCGAGGGCTGCACCCGCATCACCCTCCAGGGAGTTAGCCCCATGCGGCGCCAAGGGTCCCCCAGCGTCTCTGTTCCTGACCTCTAATCTTCAGGCTGCGGCAGGTGCAGGGCACACGGACCCCCCGGGGAGCGCGAGGGGCTCCGTGGCGCGAAGGGAGCTGCTGCTGGGCGCCCGGCCTCGGGCGCAGGGGCCTCAGCGGTGACGCCGGCCCAGGAGCCGCCAGAGACTATAGCAGACATTCTGGCAGACGCTCTGAAGAGGAAGACAGATGGCTCTGGCCCGTGTGGCTCAGGTGGTTGGACGTCATCCCATGCACCGAGGTTGCTGGTTCAATTCCTGGTCGGGACACATGCCTGGGTTTGCGGGCTCAATCCCCAGTAGGCATGCAGGAGGCAGCTGATTGATGTTTCTCTTTCCCTCCCTCCCTCCCTCTCTCTCTCAAATCATATATATATATTAATATATATATTAATATATATACACACACATATATAATATATGTATATATATGTGTGTGTGTGTGTGTATATATATATATATATATATATATATATATATATCTTAAAAGCAGCTGACTTTGGGGGAATGGAAGGCAGCATTAGGTGGAAAGGTGAATACAGCCCTGGCTGGCTGGCTGGTGTGGCTCAGTGGATAGAGTGTCAGCCTGCAGACGGAAGGGTCCCAGCTTTGATTCTGGACAAGGCGCATGCCAGGGTTGTGGGCTCAGTGCCCGTGTGGAGCGTGTAGGAGGCAGCCGATCAATGATTCTCTCTCGTTGCCGTTTCTATCTCTCCCTTTCTCTCTGAAACCAATAAAAACATCCTTTCCAATAAAATAGTAATATGCAGATTGACCATCACTCCAACCCACAAGATGGCCGCCCCCATGTGGTCAAAGATCCTGCTCCCATGTGGATATAAGATGGCCAACACAAGATAACCACTAGGGGAGGGCAGTTGGGAGGGACCAGGCCTGCAGGGCACCGCAGTTAGGGGTGACCAGGCCGGCAGAGGAGGGCAGTTGGGGGCAAACAGGCGGACAGGGGAGCAGTTAGATGTCAGTCAGGCTGGCAGGGGACTGGTGAGGGGGTGATCAGGCTGGCAGGCAGAAGTGGTTAGGGGTAATCAGGAAGGCAGGCAGGCGAGCAGTTGGCAGCCAGCAGTGCTGGATTGGGAGAGGCCCTGCCAAGGAGAAGCTGTGCAGAAGCAGAGCCGGGAGAGAGCCGAGGCTGGGAAGGAGCCGGGTCCCTGACAGGACCCCAGAGAACAGGAGGTAGCAGGACTCAGACCCAGGGTGCAGGGCCCTGGGGGCTCTCGGTGGACAGAACGCTGAGGAGCCCCAGGACTGCAGCAGCCAGGAGGGCGGCCCAGCCCTGGCTCAGCCCCTCTCCAGGGCCCCCCGCTCCCCCGCAGCCCCCCTGCGCCGCCTCCTGCGCCGCCCAGCCCCCGCAGGGGCACCGTCAGGCACGGACACTCTCCTGCCTCCCGGCCGGCCTCGTCCTGCAGCCCGGGGAGAGGAGCCAGCAGCAAGGCCGCAGGGCCACGCGGTTCGGGCGCCGGCTTCGCGGTGCCGCTGCCGGCGGCTATTTATACCCGTCAAGGCCGCTGGACAATGGCCGGGAGGCCGGCTCCACCAGGAGACAGCGTCCCGCAGCTGCCCTCCTGCGGCCCCCGGAGCCCAGCACCTGCATCCCAGCGGTCCCCGCTCCTGCTCACGACCCCCCCCCCGTCTCTCCCCGGCCAGGGTGGGGCCCCAGGTCACCCACAGGGGGTGCGCTCCCTCCCAACTCTGCCTTTCTCACATGGAGCCCTGGGTTTGGGGCGGTGGATAGAGCCGTGGTCAGCAAACCGCGGCTCTCTGGCCCCTGGAGTGCGGCTCTTCCACAGAACACCGCGGCCTGGGCGAGTCCGTGTGGAAGAAGTGGCGAGAGAAGAAGTTTAAGTTTAAACAATGTGGCTCTCCAGAGACATGTCAGTCCTTGTGCTGTTGGTTTTTGGCTCTGTGGACTCATGAGTTTGCCGACCACCGGTTGGCCTGATGACGAGGACTCCTGGGTTCGATTTTGGTCGAAGGCACGCACCTCGGTTGCAGGCTCCTCCCTGGCCCGGGCCGTGTCTCTCCTACGTCGTTTCTCCGTCTCCCTCCCCCCACACTCTAAGGTCAGTGGAAACCCCCAGTGAGGATGGAAGGGAAAGCTCCTGGGAAGCAGGGGGCTCTCCTCGGGACTGGTGTTGCCCAGTGCTCTACCCTCACTCCTAGGGGGCCCCCCTGTTGTCCAGGGCCACTGGCTAGGCCCATGTGCATGCACACAAGTCCTTGGGTTACCCCCACCCTCCCCTGCCTTCCCTCTGCTGCTCAGGTGCAGGGGTGCCAAGGCCAGGGGCCCATGAGTTGCAGGGGGAGGCAGTTCTGCATTCACCACTGCACCCCCAGTGAGGGTTTAACCAACGCACACAGTGGGGGTTAACCCAATGCGCACAGTGGGGGGTTTAACCAATGAACACAGTGGGGGGTTTAACCAATGAACACAGTAGGAGGTTTAACCCAATGCGCACAGTGGGGGTTAACCCAATGCGCACAGTGGGGGTTAACACAATGAGTACAGTGGGGGGTTAACCCAATGCGCACAGTGGGGGTTAACCCAATGCGCACAGTGGGGGTTAACACAATGAGTACAGTGGGGGGTTAACCCAATGCACACAGTGGGGGGGGGTGGTTAACCCAATGCACACAGTGGGGGGTTAACCCAATGGGCACAGTGGGGGATTTAACCAATGTACACAGTGGGGGTTAACCCAATGGGCACAGTGGGGGTTAACACAATGAGTACAGTGGGGGGTTAACCCAATGCGCACAGTGGGGGTTAACACAATGAGTACAGTGGGGGGTTAACCCAATGCGCACAGTGGGGGTTAACACAATGCGCACAGTGGGGGTTAACACAATGAGTACAGTGGGGGGTTAACCCAATGCGCACAGTGGGGGTTAACACAATGCGCACAGTGGGGGTTAACACAATGAGTACAATGGGGGGTTAACCCAATGCGCACAGTAGGAGGTTTAACCCAATGGGCACAGGCCCGGAGAGCCGGGGCAGCTGGGGCACCTCGGGGTGGTGGTCCAGGCTGGCTGGCTTTCTGTGGCCTGGCACTCTCTTGGTGGGAGTCCTTAGCCCAATGCTAGGCAGCAGGTGCCCAGCGGGGGCAGAGCCTGCCTGGCCCAGCTCAGCCCAGAGGTGTGGCCCTGGGTCCCAGCCTCCCCCAGTGGGTTTCCTGGGACACTCAGCCAGGACTATTTCTCCTGAAGCCCCAGTTTACTCCAGTTCTCCCCCTCCCCCCGCCTCTGCAAGGAAGGGCGCTCTGCCCCTCCCCTCCCCATGGCTCTGCATCTCGCTCTCCCGCCCTTCTGTGCCCTCAGCACCCTCTGGTCCCAGGATGCTCAGCCCGGGCCCAGCAGGGACTGCCAGGCTGCCCTGGAGCGGGCAGCAGCGAGGGCAAGTCTCCCCTCCCTGGTGGGGGAGGGCCCAGGCCCAGCCGTCCTCCATGCCCGCCGTGCCCAGCCTCCCTCAGCAGCCCTGGTCTTGGAAAGCGAGCAGAGGGACGCAGGCCTGGCAGGCTGCCCGCTGCTGGGAAGGTGGCAGGTTCGGACCAGGCCGGAGCTCGGAGGGGAGCCGAGAGAAGGCGCTGAGCCCGGCTCAGCAGGGCAGGCAGAGGGGCCGAGAACCGCCCCACTCCTCTCCGCTGGCTTTCCCGTTGGGTAGGCACTGCGCACTGTGCTGGGCTCGGCCTGGGCACCGGGGACGTGGGATGCACCAGGGAAGGCAGGGACCCCGCGCAGCGGCGGCCACGGTCATGGTGGCCATGTGCCCCAGCCCCACCTGTGCAGGCTGGACCTGCGTCAGCCGAGCCGCCAGCCCCACCTGGGCTCCTGGCCTCCCTCGGGGGCATGGCCGGAGGTGGCTTCTCGGCGGGCACGAAGCCCCGTGCTGCTGGCCGCACCGGCTGGCTCCTGGGGGGCTGGCTCCCAGGGAGCGAGCGCCCGCCTGCTCCTCGGCCTGCGTGGCCGTGCGGGCCCTCCGGGCTGCCCCCCCGGCTGGGCCTGGCGTGGCCGCAGTTACGTAAGCGGGAGCAGCTGGGGCTCCGAGCTCGCGGTGGCTATTTATAAGCTGCAGCAGCACAGCGGAGGGTCACCGCACCGCCCGGCAGGGACGGCGGCTTAAACATCCTGCTTCCCGGCGCCACTTCCCGGAGGCCACCCCTCCGCCTCCACGTGGGCTCAGGGGCCACGTCCCCCCAGCCTGGCCTGCCCCCCAGCCTGGCCCTGCCCCCCAGCCTGGCCCTGCCCCCCAGCCTGGCCCTGTCCCCCAGCCTGGCCCTGCCCCCCAGCCTGGCCCTGCCCCCCAGCCTGGCCCTGCCCCCCAGCCTGGCCCTGTCCCCCCAGCCTGGCCCTGTCCCCCAGCCTGGCCCTGCCCCCCAGCCTGGCCCTGCCCCCCAGCCTGGCCCTGCCTCCCAGCCTGGCCCTGCCCCCCAGCCTGGCCCTGTCCCCCAGCCTGGCCCTGCCCCCCAGCCTGGGCTGCCCCCCAGCCTGGATGTGGGGGGATGGCACCCTCTCGCCCGAGGCCCCCCTGAGGGTCAGACGAGGGGGTGGGGAAGGAGGAGGGGGTGCTCTTTAGCGGGTGAAGCCTCCGGTGGCCCCCGCCCCCGTCAGGGGCTCCAGGACCCCGGGCCCAGGGCGGGAAACACAGAGCACTGGGAGTGGAGCTGGAGACCAAGAGGCACCCTGCCTCCTCATGCCTCGGTTTCCCCTCAGAACCCAGAGAGGGCAGCACTCAGGACTCTGGGTTGCCCAGAGGCCAGCCTGGGCCTGGGCTGCGCTCCTGCCCGGAACACCCTCCCTCCACAGACCGGAATGCCCCACCGGGCGGCTCCCCCCCCCAGCGGCTCCCCCCCGGGCGGCTCCCCCCACCAGCGGCTCCCCCCCGGGCGGCTCCCCCCTGGGCGGCTCCCCCCCCCCCGGGCAGCTCCCCCCCGGGCGGCTCCCCCCCCCGGGCGGCTCCCCCCTGGGCGGCTCCCCCCCCCCGGGCGGCTCCCCCCCGGGGGGGGGGCAGGGCCTCTGGACCGCAGGAGGGTGCCCCTGGGGGCAGGCTGAGCCCCCGCCATCGCCCTTTCAGACACCGTTGCTGCTTCTCTTTCAGATTTCTTCTGATCCTAGGTTTTTTAAAATCCTGATTACGAAAGTTTTTTTAATGTTTTATTAATGTTGAGAGGGAAAGGCAGGAGCGGGAGCAGTAGAAGCACTGGCTGCCCCTGCGCGCTCCCTGCTGGGGACTGCGCTCGGCCCCTGGGCATGTGCCTGCGGGG